GGAAAATTTTCATGCTGAAAAGTTACAAAATATCTTTACCAGGATTTCATCATCATTTCTATTTCTAGAAATGTGTGTCCACGTGCAGGCAGCCATCCTCTTTCCTTCCCTCCCTCCCTCCCTCCCTCCCTCTCTTCCTCCCTCTCTTTCCAAGGTCTCCCTTTGCAGCCCAGGCTGACCTGAACTCAACATACAGCCTAGGCTGCTTCAGACTAACCCCAGCCCTCCCAGCTCAGCCTCCTGACTGCCGTTACAGGAATATGCCACCACACCCAGCTCTCTATTGCTTTCTGTTCTTTATGTGGTTGCTGTAAGCGTTTCTGGCAGATCGGGATGGAACAGCAGTGGGTCAAGTATCCTGGAGCTCGGGAGTCACAGAATACTGAGTGTTACACAGCTCAGGTGGAAAGGTATCCTGGAGCTCGGGAGCCAAGAACCATTACAGGTTGCAGTAAGCTTAGCTGCTTACAGCCTTGCCTCAGAGAAAGTCAGGGTCTTCCAGCTAGGGATGTTCGCCTAGTGTAGCAGTTTTGCTCTGCAGGAGGTTTCTCGGGCGAAGTTGCTACAGTTCAGCTCTGCTCCCAGAGAGCAGATAGCAGGGAGCAGAGTGTAACAACTCCGCTCTGCTCTGCCAAGGGAAGGTTTCCCACGCAAGTGTTACAGCCCTGCTCGCTCTGCTCTGCTCTGGGTCGCCTCTGCTCTGCTCCGTCGCTGCTGCAAAAGGTTTTCACCCAAAGCTCATCCGAAGGGGAAGGAAGTAGCTGAACATACACAGGGTTTATAGAGAGACTTTTTTGGGGGGGGCGGAGTTTTTCCAACGTAGGGATTGGTCCGATTTCAGTGCTGAGCTCAGATTGGCTAAACCAAGGATTGGTTAGTTTTCTGCACAGGATTAAGGTCAGATTTGGCTCTGGTTTCAGAGCCAAAGTGTGTTTCTTTCTCTGGTTCTTTTTAGCCTTTCGGCTCCAATTTTAGGGCCAGGGTGCATTTCTTTCACTAACTCAGATTCCAGGGACAAAGTGTGTTTGTTCCTTTGGCACCGGTTTTAGGGCCAGGGTACATTTCTTTGGTTCTGGTTGCAGGGCCAAAGTGTGTTTCTTTGGCTCTGCTCAGGGTGTGTTTCTTTAACTGCCCCCCTTTCCCTACAGTTGCTCAGACATGTTAGTTGCTGCCTGGCACATGGCCCCTTCTTTCCATTCCTGGTGTCCTCAGGTAGAACCTCCCTTCACCCTCTGTCCATCTGTCCAGAGGGACATCCACCTGAACAAGAGCCAGTGGCACTAACCATTTTCCCTTCTTGGTATTTCATGCCATGGGCTGCCCACGCCAGTTTACACTATTACGGCCACCATCCCCTGTAACTTTTACTAAGTATTTATTATGTGTGAAATACTGAGCCATGAGTTTTCCATCAACCTGCTAGTGAATTCTGAGGATAACTTTCTTATACGCATGCCATTTATGCCGCCCTGTGATTGATGCCCCTTTAAAGTAGATTTGCTTCCCAGGGTTGCCTCTATGTGGGTATCAGTGCAGCCCGGGAGGGCCTGGTTACCACCACGTAACTTCAGTATGGCCCAGAAGAACCTCCATCTTGTTCACGGCCTGTTCCCTGCTGGGTCAGGGTGGAACATGACGGTCTGGCGCCATTCTCTCCTCAGGACTAACGCATCCCCTTGTCTCCTCGCAGTTCATCTTGAGGAACAAAAGTCAGCATCTTTTAGCAGCTACCTCCCCTCAGCAGGCTCCATTCCTGTCGGCCCCCTCCTCCTCCCTCCTCACCTATCTCTCCTGACCGAGATGCACAGTAACAGCCCCAGCCATAGCAGCAGCTGTGACGCGCCCAGGTCCCATCTGGTCTACCTGACGCTCCTTTCTGGGGTGCTATCTGCCAGTGGCCAAGCCTCTTACAGCTGGACCATGCTGCTCACTTAGACTGACTCACTTCTGTTTCCTGAGGTTCCACTGTTTGTCCCATTGAGAAACGTTGAGGGAAATGAGACAAGAGGAAACTGCCCAGGGAGGGTGAAGAAAGGGGAGCCCTTCTGACAGCCTCCTTCCTGCTGTGACGTCACGGTCTTGTTGGGAAACACTCTGTGACTGCCATTCTCCACCAAACCTCAGGTCTCCCTCACTGCCTCTGGGCACCAAGACAATGTCACATCTGTCACATCCACTGACCCCTCGCCCAGTTCTTCCCAAGCCAATGATGTTGAAACATACAGCCTTGCCACCTTCCAAGGCCAGGGGTCAATCTGACGTCATTACTCAGACACCACCTTGTTTTTCCGAGACAGGATCTCTCATTGGCATGAACCTCAACCAAATAGGCTGGCTGCCTGTCCGTCACCCCAGGGTTATGTGTTCGCCACCACATCTGGTGTTTTGTACGTGGCTTCTAGGGATCAAAATCAGGTCACTGGGCTTCACAAACCAAGGCTTCTCCTCAGACCTGAGTAATCTTAATCTCAGTATGGCCATATGGCTGAATTACTCAGAAGCAGGGCATACACAGTGGCATCTGGGTTCTACTCTCGGAGACTCTGAGTCCACAGGCCTGCAGAGACGCCAAGGAATCTGCATTTTTTTTTGAGACAGGGTTTCTCTGTGGCTTTGGAGGCTGTCCTGGAACTCGCTTGGTAGTCCAGGCTGGTCTCGAACTTACAGAGATCCACCTGCCTCTGCCTCCCGAGTGCTGGGATTAAAGGCGTGCGCCACCAACGCCCGGCTAGGAATCTGCATTTTAACAAGCAGCCTAATTGATTCTGTCCCGGGACTCCAGCTAGACTAGCTACCTTGAGGACACAGACACTTCATGACTTGAGTACAGACACTGAGTCTGAACTACTCCTTAGTTTTATGTATTTTTCTTGTTGAGGCAGGATTTCATTATGGAGCCCGGACTATCCTCGAAGCCTCCATCTTCTTACCTCACCCTCCCAGCTGCTGGGATTACTGATGAGCACCATTGCTCTGATTTCATTCTGCTGCTGAGAAGCAATCAGCCGAGGGGAAAAGGGTTCACCTGGCTTACAGTTCCAGGTCACACTCCAAGCCAAGAGCAGAGAGAGGTTAGACAATTGGATTCGCATGGTCTGCCTACTTCTGACCAGCTAGGCTTCCTTATTCTTGCAGAATGCAGAGCCCAGTCTATGAAGTCTATGACATGGTACTAACCATATACAGGGTGAGTGTTCCCAGCTCAACCATCAGTCAAGACAAGGTGGCACAGACATGCCCGCAGGGGCTCTCTTCACAGGTGACTTCTAGGCTATGACAAGTTGACAACTTAAGAACTGTAACAGACACCACACAACTTTTGTAAGTGTGTGTGTGTGTGTGTGTGTCTGTCTGTGTCTGTGTGTGTGTCTGTGTGTGTTTATGTGTCTGTGTGTGTGTGTCTGTCTGTGTCTGTGTGTGTGTCTGTGTGTGTTTATGTGTCTCTGTGTGTGTGTGTGTGTGTGTGTGTCTGTCTGTGTGTGTTTATGTGTCTCTCTGTGTGTGTGTGTGTGTGTGTGTGTCTGTGTCTGTGTCTGTGTGTGTGCAGAGCTTTCTTCCCTGGTCTTTGTTTGGTTTGGTTTTGTTTCCTTGTTTTGAGATGCCATCTCTCACTGACAGGGAGAGGGTCTCTAGCTGGTCAACAAGCCCCAGGGAACTGCCTGTTACTGCTTCCCCAGTGCTAAGATTATAGGTATGGTCCACCCTAAGCACATTTTCATGGTTTCTGTAGATAGCACTCAGCTCCTCAAGGTTCCGTGGCAAACAATGCACCACCTTGGCCTTGCCTGGACCATAGTCTCCTGCTCGGCTTTTAGGCAGAAAGCAAACACACTGAGATGGCCACCTTCTGGATCAGTCCTCCAAAGACTCATGCCAGAGCACCATGGTAAAGTGAGTTCCACCGAGGCCTCTCCCAACAGATGAGCCTGTGGGGTTGGAAACGCCCTGTGCCTTGTCAGTGTGGGATACTACAGAGAGTCATGTGTACAGGGAAACGTCCCTCTGTGATGGAAGCGTGTGTAGGGATTGGGATCTCTTTACAGAGTAGGGGAAGTCTCCCTGCCAGGAAGGTGCTTTCCTGAGGCGAGGAACAGCGGCTTCTCAGCCTCCTGACTGAGGTAAGTGAGCTGGATGCTGTGTGGTGAGATGTGCTTGCTCTTGGGACTTTGGGATGAAGTTGTCCCCAGCCATTGCTGAAGTAGAATGAGCTAATGTACCATAATGTACCATCCTTTCCCCTCCCACAGGGCCCCTTTGTTCTTAGAGCCCAAAGAGATGGGAAACAAGAAAATGACTGTGAGTCCCAGAAGCAGCATCAGGGCCACAGGGCGCCTGGGAGGAGACCGAGAGGTGTAAGGAGGAGAGAAGTTACAGGCACATCGGGGACAGCCTCCCCAGGCTGGGATGGGCTCCTGCCACCCTCCATGGCCACCCCATCTCAGCCAAGGAAGAGGCATTCAGCTGGCGGCAAAGCCCTGGCTCTCCATCTCTCTGCCTTTGGAGCCCTTCAGCAAGGGAACTCCAGACTTCATGCCTGCCTGGAGGTGGTGGCCTACTATCCTGTGGCCTCCTCTGGTCACACACACCGTGGTCTTCACGGGTTGCACCAAGGAGTCAGTGATAAAAGGCACACAAGGTGTTGATGCATGTGCCGGTCAATCCTGCAGATGCCAGCTCCTCCTCCAAGAGTTTCCCAGACGACAGCATCCAGCTTAACTTGAATACTCTCTTCCAAGGTGGGATCTTGCCTTCTTGGTTGGGGGTGCTCAGAGGACCATAGATGAAGACAAATCTGAGTGCCTGGTTCCCGGAGAGGAAGGCCCCAGGGGCAGGGAGAGCAGGCGGCTTCATGAGCAAGGGCCCAGCCCAGGAGCCTAGAATTGTACTGTCCAAGGGAAGGACAAGGGGCAGGAATAGCAGTGGTGATCCCTAACCCTCCCGACTCCCACGGAAGGTGACACGAGGCGTGTCCCATGGGAATCAAGATTCACTAGACCCAGTACATGTTAGAGGAGGTTTATTTGGAGAGATTACACTTACACAAGAGGCAGGCAGGTGGATTCTCGCAGGCTGTATCCCGGGACCAGCAGCAAGAGAGCACACACCTCTCTGAAACAGCCTAAATCCTCCCCTCCCTTATGCACCAGTGACCACGCCCATTTGGGCGTGGTCAGAGCCTCAGGTGCACAGTACTACAGAGGAGCACTGGGCTCTGTCTTTATTTCAGGACAACGTCTATTCAGGTGCAATGGCCACAGGGTGCTGGCCAGTTTCCCGTCTTCTGAGGGTGCACAACACACGCCCAAGATGATGGATGGACTGAGGAGAGTGGGCAGGCCCAGCAGGGGGACACTGTGAGTCCTAGATGTCACCCATGATCACAGGTTCAGTTCATGTCACAGTCCCTCCTTAGTCCCCCACCCCAAGTTCTTCCTCTGAGACAGACATGGCTGAAAGTCAGAGGTCACTGTCGTGTGGCACCATGGTTTGTCATCCAAATGACCTCTGAGTGACAGCAAACAAGATTGTGAAGATCAGGGTCTTACTGAAGAGTCCACAGACCACGGGAACAACGATGCTGGATATGGACACCCTGTGGACACAGGAGATTGAAGGATGACTCAATGACCACTCACAGGGCAGTCTAGGGAATTCTTTGCAGCTTAGGCCCTCCCTGCAGCTTTCCCATGGCCTGTGAGAAAGTCCAATGCAGTTTATATGGTCGCTTCCTAGAGTATCCAGTTAGAAATGTGTCTGGTGGAAAGTCACGAGCTCAGGTCCAGGGGATGAACAAAGGAGGAGTGTTCACTCAGGCGTCTTAGCCTTCTCTGTGGAGTCAGGGAGCTCCATATCTAGGGGACCTGGCCCCTGTTGCCAGCTCTCTGACCTGCTTCTGGGGACACTTGTCCTACCTTAGCCTCATTGTCCCCATCCAGAAACCAAGAAGAAGCTAACCTTACTGAAAATCCCATCGCAGAGTTGTGATGATTTTAGCAAAGTGATTCTCCAAGTTCCAGGTAGACAGCAGTAGACATAAGAAAGAGACCCCCACAGGAGAGAGAGAGAGAGAGAGAGAGAGAGAGAGAGAGAGAGAGAGAGAGAGAGAGAGAGAGAGAGAGAGAGAGAGCGAGCTTTGCCTGACTTGGGCAGATAGAGAAGCAGGTGAGGACAGAGTGCTCTACATGATAGGACACAGGGACAGAAGGAGTGGGTGACATCGAATCACACAGAGGCCACATAGAGTGTTCATGATATGTAAGTGTGGGAGTCTGTGCAAATGCCACAGCCATCAGTCTGTGTGAGGCAGAGAGGAAATTTTATTCAACAAAACTCAGTAGATGGTATTGGTTCAAACTTCTAAAGTCTGACTCCAGGGTGTTTATTTATGTATATTTAAGTACAGCACAATTTAGAGGGAAGTTTCCTGATTCTTATTAACTCAGTCCTGTAAGTACAGCAAAGGTAAAATAAGGTGATAACACTGAAACTCTTCAAAATACAAATCACCTCCTGCAAAAAGATGGCTTCTATTGACTGAGGAGCAATGTTCAAGATCAGGGTTAGGGGGAGGAGTCTAGGGGAGTCAGAGGCAACTTGCTCCTGAAGATATCACAGAGGTCACCAGGCTATAAACCAGTAGAAAACAGGTCATGCATTCTTTCTTTGAAGAGACAACCTTGCATGTTTAACAATTTTGGTTTCCCTTGTGTTTATATGTGAGCACAAGGTCCAAGTGCCTTTTCCCTATAAGAACTAGGCTAACACAGCCAGACATCCCAGCTCATGCCCATAACCCCAGCAGTGGGTAGGCTAGGGCAGGAAGATCACAAATCTGCAGCCAGCATGGGCCATGGAATGGAACCTGTCTAAATACAGAAATAGAATGCAATGGCTTGGTCAGTCAATGGTCTACTCAGTAAAGGAAGGACCTTGCTAAAGCAAAGATGGTTTAGTGAATAACCCTATGGTACAGTAATACTACATGGCAGGGTAAAGTACCATTGGTCTGAGTCTGGAGTGCAATATATATGTGTATATGAATGGGGGCAGGGGCTATAGAAAACCACTAGGAAATAGAATTGAGTGTAATTAAGGAATAAATCAAAACAACAACCTTGAAAGCAGTACGTGGACTCATGCAAATGGTGATGGACGGGGCAGCCTGCCCATGTGTGCTGACACCCCCCCACACACACAACCTCCTGTCCTGTCCCCTATCAGGGGCACAATATCCCCAGGCCACGTGGTAAGTTCAGCAGCCGGTAGTGGTGGAGAGGCAGGCCAGCTCCTGTCTCGCACCATGTGGTGCCAGCCTCACCCCCACCCCCTCCCGTGGAGCCCTGCTTCTGGCCTTTGCCAATGCCATTGCTTCCCAAGTCTAACCTGTCAATATTTTGCTGTGTTTCCTTGGAACCCTGGGCTGTTCTCATGCACTAGGCTCTGGGGCACATTCCCTTACAGTAGCTCTTCATCTGTCTCTTTGCTGGGCTCTGCAGACTTGGGGGGCCCTGAGGTGGTGCGAATCCAAGTACCCATGCATTGACTAGGACCTCCCCTACCCAATGACTGGATGCAGCATCATATATGTCAGGGGCCCTTGTTATATTCTAGAAACATGCTCTACCCAGCCATGAATTCTAAGAGCTCAGAACTTTTATTGTCTTTTAGATAATGGCTGATTACCACCAGATGCCTGACCTTGGTGGAGAATGGCTCCTATTTTTGTATAAGACCTGGGCCTAACCCCACCCTAAAGGCTAGTGAGACATGCTGGTATGGAGTATTCTAGGGCTTGAGTATGTCCTGCTTAGGAGTGTCTCTAGGATTAAGGGAAATATTTCCTGTCATCCCTGCCACCCACATTTGGATGGTTACTTAAGATGATGGAACAATAAACCATGGCCTTCAGTATTGACTGGGAGCCCTCCTGCTGTGATCAGATGTCTCTGTCTCGTCCTTAGCATCGTTGGGTAACTAGGCTTTCCCTCATCCACACTCCTCAACTCAGGGTTGGATCTGGGGCTGTTCAGCTGGTTCCAATTGCAGCCCCAAAGGTATCAGTCCGGAATAGATGGCTCCTGCAGAGTAAGGCTAATACAGACCAGACCATGATACATATATATCCCAAGCCTTCTGCCTCTAATACAAGCAGTTTCAGATGTTACCCACACTCCCTTCAGGACCCAGTCTATGCCACACCTGGGAGACTGGCCCTGTTTATGACCCGTCATTGACTTCCCTTCCCAACCTCACTTCCCTGATAGCTCTGCCACTGATTACTTCCTAAAACACTTTCACAAGGTTTACTTTCCCATGACCCATGCCTGAGGAAGTAAGCTTGCCACAGGCTCCCCTGAATCTTGCCACAGGAAGATAGGGCTCCTCTGCATGCCTGTCCATCAACAGGGCAGAGTCTCTGCTCTTCTGTCATCCAAACAAACAACTCATTGAATCCAAATATTTTTTCTTGCAGACAGCTGGGATGGTTGATGCTGTCCTGCCTGAACTCTGACTAACTAAATAATCACAAATATTATAAAATAATGATAACTGGTGAATAACCCCATGCTATAGTGTTGCAGGATAAAGTTATCAGGTGAAAGGTACAGAAGTAGCCATAATGTGAGTCACAGTGTGCCTCCTGTGTCTTGGAAAATAAAGGCACTGGAGAAAAACTAACTTCTAGAAAGACAACTCGGTGGGTAAGAGTACATACTGCTCTTCCAGAGGGGCTGAGTTACATTCCCAGAACCCACACTGGGCAGCTCACAACTTCCTGTAACTGTAGCTCAGAGGGGTCCAACACTTCTTCCAGTCTGTGCAAGCACCTGAACTCATTTGTATGAATCACACATGTGTGTACACATGCAGGTGCATGCACACATGTAATTTTAAAAATGAATATTTTTTAAAGGAAGGAAAGATGAATGCAGACTCTCACTAGGTTTCAAATATTTATTACCCCATGAAGGCCGAGAGAGTAGATACTCCACACCAGGCACCCCATGAAGGCTGAGAGAGTAGATACTCCACACCAGGCACCCCATGAAGGCTGAGAGAGTAGATACTCCACACCAGGCACTTGAGATGGTGCCAGTGAAACAGTGCACAGAAAGAGGAAAGTGCTGTGTCTGCCTTAGGCCTGGACAACAGTGACAAGGATGACACTATTAGAAGGTGGTGAGAGGTTAAAAGGCTGGGATTAGTTGGAGGCTTTGGGTTACTGGGCATCCGTTAATCCACTCATCTATTTTTTCTTCCACCTGCCAGCCACTCATCCACCTTCATTCATCCTTCCATTTATTAATCATGTATCCATCCACTAATCAATGCATCCATCCACTAATCAACGCATCCATCCACTAATCAATGCATCCATCCACTAATCAATGCATCCATCCACTAATCAATGCATCCATCCACTAATCAATGCATCCATCCACTAATCAATGCATCCATCCACTAATCAATGCATCCATCCACTAATCAATGCATCCATCCACTAATCAATGCATCCATCTACTAATCAATGCATCCATCCACTAATCAATGCATCCATCCACTAATCAATGCATCCATCCACTAATCAATGCATCCATCCACTAATCAACACATGCAAGGATTCACTCGTGCATGCATTCATTCACTCATCCACTCATTATCCACCATGTATCCAAAGAAATAATGCAACCATAGCCTGCTCCCCTCCTCGAAACCTCTAGAACCAGGAGCCAAAATAAATCACCCACCTCCTTTTAAGTATTATCTCAGGCATTGCTACGATGACGGAGAAGTGACAAACAAACATGGGTTAGAAATCTCATGAAAAATCTTTTTTTTGAGACAGGGTTTCTCTGTATTGCTTTGGAGCCTGTCCTGGAACTCATTCTGTAGACCAGTTTGGTCTGGATCACAGACATCCACCTGCCTCTGCCTCCCGAGTGCTGGGATTAAAGGCATGCGCCACCAACGCCCGGCTCCTGAAAATCTTATTTTAAAATATTGATACCAAGGGCTGGGGATAGTTTGAACACTAGTACTGTGAAAATGAAAGTACTGAGTTTGTCACATCTCCATAAACTGCCATTCTGTCACTGTGTGGTGGAGACTCACACCAACATTAAAATCAAACAAAACAAGCAAGTCAGTCAGTCAAACAGAACAAAACAAAGAGCAACACTAGAGAGAGTCATAGAGAGCCTTCTCTGGTTTTCTAGCATCCCAACAGTATCCCTGGAACTAAAGCCACAGGGGTCGCTGGCTCACCCAATGTTAAAACACAGCTGGTCTATCCAACATGGGAACCCATCTGCTTCTGGTTTGGCAGGTCTAATAGCATTCATGACCCTTCCATTTCCCTCCTCTTACTACTCTGATGTGCAAGGAGACACAGGAGGTGAGCTAGGGAGGGTGGGAGCCTCCTCCTCAGTCAGTTACCACCTCCTCTCTCCCTGGGAATTTCCACAGACTGAGATGATTCAAATCCGCCCCTACTCCAGTCCACCCGTCTTCATGCCCACATCCTCTCCGCATGTGAACTAGGAGATAAAGGGTGTCCAAACCAGGAGCCCAGGAAACATACCTGGTAACATCTGTTGCATTTTTGAAGGTGACTCCAGGGTCAGGAGAAGAGATAACAGCTGTGGACTTAGGTAAGGGTTGCGTTGGTTTGGCCACAGTCATGTCTCTGCGCATGGGTTTTGTGGTAAAGGGGCCGGGAACTTCGGTGGGGCTTGTAGTAGGAATGGTGTCAGAGGTGAGCAGGCTTGAAGAACCTACAAGAAGACACATGGGATAGATAGATAAGAGGATGGACATATAACGGATGGATGGACAGACACACAGATGGACAGATGGATGGATGAGTAGGTGAAGAGAAATGGAGCTGGAGAGGGAAATGAATATGGCTATTCAAGGAGCAAGGTTCTCTTTCACTAAAATCCAAACGAGTGTCAAGTCAGCCTGAATCAGACTCAGAAAGAAATGAACAGAAGGAGAAGAGGAGGATGGCTGGAAAGAGGCATGAAGAAGACTCCCGGGCTGTCCGAGTTATGGAGACGCTCTTGTCTGCTGCTGTCCTCCTCTCCATCTGCCCCGTCCTCCCCTCACACTGTCCTCCCCGCCTCTGTAAGTCTCGTCACGCTACAAGGTGTCCTTTACTGGTGCCTTGCGTCTGAGTTCAGCTTGGGCTTGGCACAGGCTCTCCTGGGTGTAGGAAGGGAGGCCTGCCTCTCTTTTCTCTGCCGTCCTTGGTCATCCACGATTACTCCCTGGGGATGTAGAGCCCAGCAAGGCACCAGCTCCACCTCAGTGAATTCAGAAATCCAGAGAGCGCACTTGTAAGCACACTGGTCCCTCAGACACTTGTTCCTCACCAGCAAGTGTCACTTCAGGTCTACTGAGCCCAGGGTGACTTCGGGTGGTTCATGCCCACAGCAAGATCTGAGATGCACACTTTAGAAGCCCATGGGGGCCGCCAAGGGCATCTTGGGATGAGGAGTAGATTACTAGAGGCTTCCTAAGAAGGGAACATAGCATCCATGGATTTCAGTACCTGCAGCCAAGCTGCAACCCAACAAGGCTACAGTGTTCACAGTCCCGTCAGTTCAGGGACATGCACACATCACCCAGTTATATGGGCCACAAATCTATGGGACCTATGGACACACTACTGAAGTCAGCTGTACCCAGGCCTCAGATTGCCAGCTCTATAGGTAGACTGCATACACAACTTCTTATGAACATCCTTCAACTGCCCTCCAGGAATATAGGTAGCCTCTCAAAGAAGTATGACGCTGGTGCTTATGATACCACCATGACCACAGCCACCACCACTAAGACCACATACGCAGTTTAGTTGGCACTCAGTCTGCTTGCCCAGCCTACGGGCAGCAGACAGCAGCCACCATGCCTATCCACGTCTGCCAAGACTAGCCAACTTCAATCTAGTACAGGGATTAGAACAAGCCCTGTCTTGGACATATACAGAGCGACTGACTGCACTTGTCCCCAGGAAACACCCCATGCAGCCCTGTTCTGTTGGGAGACAGACTCATCCAAGACTTTGTCAGAAGCCTTGATGACAAAACAAAGAAACACTGATGGGGGATGTCCTTCAGTGTTTCTCTTATTGGTTGATGAATAAAAACCCTGTTTGGTCAATAGAGGCAGGAAGATAGGTGGCACTAGGAGACGAGGAGAATTCTGGGAAAGGTAGGCAGAGGGAGACTGGAAAGGGATGCCACGTAGAGACCAGGAGGATAGGACGTGCCAGGCGTTCTCTGGTAAGCTAAGGTCATGTAGAAATACATAGTTTAGTAGTTGTGGGTTAATAATTAAGAAGAGCTAGCCAATAAGAAGCCCTAACTATTGGCCAACAGTTTTATAATTAATATAAGTCTCTGTGTGTTCATTTGGGGCTGAAGCAGCGGGACTTGGCGGACAAGAAAATCCAGATACAGAACACCAGGCCTGTGTCCTTGCGCAAGAGCGAACATGGCAAGGTCCGATCTGAGGCTAGGGTCTGGGCCTCGATGGAGTTAAAGTTTCAGTTCCTGGGAACGAGACTTTTCCCCACTGGAGAGATGTGAGTTATCAGTCCCATGGCTGCTGAGCACATCGTCTCTCTCACACTTGAGATTTTCTGTGTCCCCTTTGTGCAATATGACGTGCTTAGATCCCTGATGACTTTGCCCATGGTATGACAGCTTTCTGCTGACTCTGTGCCACTCCACACACACAAAGTACATATAAGATGCTGTACTGTTTGTCTGTCTGTCTGTCAGTCTGTTTGTTTGTTTGAGACAGGATCTTACTTTGTAGCTCTGGCCATCCTGGAACTCACTACATAAACCAAGCTGGCCTTGAACTCACAGAAATCTACCTGTTCCTGGGATTAAAGGTGCATGCCACCATGCCCGACTGATGCTGTACTTCTTAACAAGCTTGCTTGGCATAAGACATAACTTGTGCAAACCTGATGACCCCAATTTCCAGTCTTTTTTATTACTTCTGAGCCCCTGATTCTCCCTCTTGGGTCAGCCATTCCTCTTCACAGATGACTAGTTACAATCTCAGCAGCTCCTCTCAGCAGAACTAAGGGCAAGCAGCTATGGGCAGCAGAGAATTTATGGTCAACAAAGCAGTTATGGACAGCAGTCTCCCTGCAGCTACCCCCCTCCAGACTGGAACCTACAGCCAAGTCAACATAACCTATAAAGCGGCATTCCAAGGAGCGCACCCTACACCCTAGTAGTGTGGTGTTTATGGGTGGGAGTCTGGAGGATTTCCTGGACCAGGAGGGAGTTGGAGCACAAGTGGCCAGGAAAGAATGGGGATTTAATCCTGGAGTCATGAGCAGAGGCTAACAAGCACTGGAGGTCAAGGCAGCTTCAAAAGGCCCGGTGAACCCATGGGTGAAAGGGCAGATCTTGCTGTATTATAGATCCCCCTATAAGTCTTGAAAACTTGGTCAGCACTGTAAATCATGCTCAAGGATTCAATGGTGGTGTAACTCTGGATCTAGCCAATTTCTTTAAGCATTGCAAGGTTGCTAGGATGAGCAGGAGAACTTGGCAATCCACAATCCACATCTACCTGGAAAAGGAAGCAGGAAACCCTGGAAATGACACCATGGTATCCCAGGAGGATCTGCCAACTGCTGGGGTTGCTATGGAGTGGCTTGATGGGAGATTTATAAGCAAGTCAACTGAAGTTTCTCTTGCCTGAAAGGAGCCTCCAGTGAACAGCATGTAGAGTAGTATGCCACCTTAAGAGGGCAGAAGGATGCCACCACCAATCTGCAGAGGCCCCGATGACCCAGGAGATCGGGGAGAATCCATAGGTTACATAGGAGGTCATGGAAGAAACAGGAAACTTCCCCCAAGAGGGCTCTGAGATTCCAGAGAGATCCACCTCTGAAGGAAGACCTGCCAGCACCAAGTCAGAGAACAGTAATGTCCAACCTGAACTGTAGAAGCCAGAAAGTTCCTGGAGAACAGAGTGCACCCTGTGTAAGCCTGAACACTTCCTTTCCAACCCTTCCCACGTCTGGATGTCGATCCTGGCAGAAATGTCACTGGCAGCAGGTGGGGAGGAAAGCTGTGGGGTTTCTTCAGAGGTTGCCATAGCGGGGATCAAAATGATTTGTGGGAGAAAGCGAGGTGTCACAAAGGGTCTCCTGGACCTTTGATGAAACAGATTTACTGTTTAAGCCAGAAAATGCCCTAAAGGCAGAGTTCCATGTTTATATGTTGGCCATGACACTGTTCCAAAGGAACAAGCTAAATGGTTAATTAAAAAAGAAAGGCTTCTAAGTAAAGATCTCAGAAATGGAACTAAATCAAATTCCAAGTCTACTGCTCATCTTCTCCCAAGGAGAATCCACACACAGGAGTCCCTAATTACTGTTGGGCCAAGTGCCTGCCAACAGCCTTGGATGGCAGGCAAGGAAATTCTGGCAGGAAGCTGGGCTGCCAAGAATTCTGGGCCACCGCCCCATCCTTGCCTGGTCTACCTCTCTCTCACTCTCCCCAGACACTTCCTGGTCACTCACCCTTGGTCACCACCAGGCGGACAGGATGGAAGAGCAGAACGGGGTCGTTAGGAGGACGGTAAATGACACAGCGGTACAATCCAGAGTCTGTCACTCGAAGGTCATCCATTTGGACATGTAACATGGCCTCATCAGGGTCATCTTTCAGTGTGTACTTCCCCGTGCGGACTTCACTGGCTGTAGACGACCTCTCTGTGACCACCAGTGTCAAAGGCTCCTTTCCATCCGGCAGCTTCTGCCAAGCCTTCCTGCTGCTGCCGTACTTCATGATGTTGAAGGGACAGCCCACCGTCAAGGTCTGCCCCTCAACTAGGTCATACCTTTCTTCAGCTGGCTCAATGGCAGCCTGGACTTCTGTAAATAGGAAAAAGGAAACAGGCTCTGTAGGGAATGGTCTTCATCCAAACTCTCTACTGGGAAGGAGTTTCGGTTTTCGTATGTTTGCTTTACTATAAGAGCCCATGATATGTGGCCTGTGGAAATCAAACTTTGTAAACACCCCTTTTGTGATAGCATGTTAATGCATCACATATGTGTGCATGTGTGCATGCCTACGGTGCCAAGAGGCTAAGCTCAGGAATCACACATGCTTCAGCATAGTGCCCGTTTAGTTGTTTCCGTTTTTTCAGGGTCTCTCACTTTTCACGCAGAGCTGAAATGGTCAGCTGGGCTGTCTAGTTGCTGAGTCCCAGGGACCCCACTTGCTCTGCCCGCCTGGTGCTGGGATCACTACTATGTGCTATGCCACATCCGGCTTTTTTACACGGCCTCTGGGGACCAAACTCAGGTCCTCACGCTTGTGTGGCAAGCACCACATGGACTGCATTATTTCTCTAACCCTAAATGGTGCTTTAGAGACATGACATTGCCTGACTGGAGACCTGGAGACGTGAACGGGACATGGTGGGGGAGGAAGGTACTTTCCAGGGCAAAGAGTGGATATAAAGACGGTCTCCAAGCAAGGACGGTGTCCAGGACAAAGAGGTCAGCTCAGGAGACTCCAAGGAAGCATCCAGGAAAATAAATAAAAATAAAGCCTCATGGGCACGGTGGTAGGGACTCTGCCTGGCTGGCATCATTTCCATCCCACAGGGCTCTGCTGCTGGGGCTGTCAGTATTCCTGAGGACAGCCGTGAGGAGGTCTACCGGATACAAACAAGACATGGACTGGCTTAGAAATGGGCTCACTAGGGTAAGCCAATCAAAACCTCATCTGCCACTGTGCAGCCCTTACACAGAGGTTGATGGTCAGCAGGGGGGCGAAACTCCCATCGCTGTATTTTACCACATAGGAATCAGCTGCCTGAGAACAAGTCACAGTTCTGAAAGTCACTGAGAGACTAGAGTTTGGCCACTTAGGCCTGGATATCATTCTCCAACAAAGGCATGGACAGAACATCAGGTCAGTGAGGAGGACAACTTTCACTCCCAAAGCCTCTACTGCTGTTAGTACTACAACTAACCCACACACACACACCACACACACACACACACACCCCACACCCCCACACACACACCACACACACATACTCACCACACACACACCACACACACCACACACACCACACACACACATACACACCACACACACACCACACACATCCACACACACATACCACACACATACCACATACACACACACCACACACACCACACACCATACATACACACACCATACACACACACCACACACATCCACACACACATACCATCCACACACATCCACACACACACCACACACACACACCACATCCACACACACCACACACACTCACACACACATACCATCCACACACATCCACACACACATCCACACACACCACACACACCACACACCACACACACACACACACACCACACCACACACACACACACCACACCACACACACACACACACACACACACACAGATAGGCTAAGACTTACACTTTAGTAGAGCCCTTGCCTGCACACACAGGATGTGTCAGACTCCAGGCCTGCTCTGCCCTCATCCAGCCTTGGTAGGACTCACCTCAAGGACTCGGGGGGATTTTGTGAACAAGCCAGGCTAACGACCAGTTAGACCTCTGAGGGAACCTTGCAAGCAGGCTCCGCTGAGCTCTGCCCCCCACACTCAGCATGGCGGTGCACACCTGTGCACTAGAACTCTGCAGGTGCAAGTAGGAGGGTCAGGAAAAAGTCAAGACCATCCTCAGTTACACAGGGAGTCTGGGGTCAGCATGGGCCACACGAGGCCCAGCGCAGAGAAAAAGAAGAGGGTGAGAGAATGTCCCCCCACACACGCAGACAGGCCCGCAGAGGCTCAGGGCTGTGTTGAACCAATTCTGATTACTCCGTCACAGGAAGGCTGATCCACCCTGTGTGACACACTCAGGGACTCCACCCTTGGGCTGTTTTCATGGAAGTCCTGACTCACTGAAATGTCACAACACTGGGTTGGGGGCTGGTCCAGCCCCACTCAGCATGTGTGAGAAGCTGGCATCTCCAGCTCCAGCATTTGGAGCTGGGATTACAACCTCCGTGAGGACAGACAGACACAGGCTTCTGTTCATACCTGTGGCCTCTGGAGTAACAGATTTGTGAGTCCAAGGTAACCCCGGGAAACGGCTGTTAAATTAATTACTTCCTTGAGGTCTAATGAACTGTCCACATCAAAAGCACCACGGGGGAACAGAAGAAAAACATCTCAAATTGTTTGGGTGGCTGGGCTTAGTGGCTCACACGTTTAACTCAGCATTAGGGAGGCAGAGGCAGGGAATCACTAGGTGAGTTCAAGGTCAGCCTGCTCTGCATAGACAGTTCCAGGACATCCAGGGCTACGAGAGACTGTCTGAAAAAATACATATATGTTCTTCAGATCATGCCAGGTTTGCATTGGTTGGATCTGCTGGCCTGGTAGTGACCATCTTTCATCTGAATACACAAGAAGCTGGGGCAGGAGTTCAAAGCCAACTTGGTTATAAGTGAGACTGTGTGCAATTGTCATTGTTTCCACTGAAGGATCTGTATGTCTCTGACATAAAAAAAACAGAGGTTGGGGCTGCAGCTCAGTGGTAGAGCAGCTGCCTGGCATGTGTGAGGTCCTGGGTTCCAGCCCCAGGACTGCAAAAGTAAACGGCAGTTAAGAGCACTTGCTGCTCTTGCAGAGGACCAGGGTTTGCAACCATCTAGAATTCCAGTTCCAGGGAAATCTGATGCCCTCTTCTGGCCTCCTTGGGTACCAGACATGTATGTAACACACACACACATGTGCATACATGCAAATATACACAAAATAAACTTTATAAAAAGCATAGACCACCTGCCTCCCTAGCTCACCCTTCTTGTATGTCTGTTCATCAGCCTCAGGGGTCTGATTCTCTGAGCTCAGATGAAGCCTGCCTGGCCTGAAATGAGCCGTGTTTGGCCCCACATTAGAGTCATTTGCTTTAGAGCAGTGGTTCTCAACCTTCCTGATACTGTGACCCTTTGGTACAGTTCCTCATGTTGTGGTGACCTCCAACCACAAAATTATTTTCATCGCTACTTCATAACTATAATTTTAATACAGTTATAAATCATATTATAAATACGTGGGTTTTGGTTTTTTTGAGACAGGGTTTCTCTGTAGCTTTGGAGCCTGTCCTGGAACTCGCTCTGTAGAACAGGCTGGCCTTGAACTCACAGAGATCCGCCTGCCTCTGCCACCCCAGTAAGGATTAAAGATGTGCACGACCACCGCCTGGCAGTATCTATGAAAGAACCATTCGAACCCAAAACTGTTGCTTTAGCTCTTCAGTGGGACAAGCTTTGTGGGTTAGGGAGGTGTCTCAGCTGGTAAAGCACTTGCTGTACACAGGTACGAGGGCCTGAGCTTGGTCTCCAGCAGCATGTAAAAAGTCCAGTGCAGGGACCCACTTGTCCCCGCACCAGGCAGACAGAGACAAATGGGACCTTGGGGCACACTGGCCTAGCAGATTAAAAAACTCAGCTCAACCAGAGACTCAAGAGCAAGGTAGACCCAGGTGTGGCAGTACAGGACACACTTTAGGGTGTGAGCCTAGCCTTTAACGGCAGAGCCATCTGTGAGCCTAGCCTTTAACGGCAGAGCCATCTCTCCAGCCCCAGTGCACACTTTTAACATCAGTAATAAGAAGACAGAAGCAGGGGCAGATTGAGGGCCAGCTTGGTCTACATAGCAAGTTCCAGGCCAGCCAGGTTACATAGAGAAATAATCTTGGGAAAATTAAATGTGAAAAGCAATGGAGGAAGGCACCCACTGTCAACCTGTAACCTACACACACACACTCACACACACTCACACACACAAACACACTCACACACACTCACACACACTCACACATGCACACACTCACTTGCACACACTCACACATGCACGCACACACGCACACACACATGCACGCACTCACTCGAGCGCGCGCGCACACACACACACACACACACACACACACACACACACAGGGCTTCCAACATCCTCAGCCAGAACTCTCACCTGCCAGTCACCTGGTCTACATAACAAGTTCCACGTTACACAATGAAAGCCAGTCTCCAAAAAAACAAAAAACAAAAACAAAAAAGTGGAAAGCAATGGAGGATGACATCCAATGTCAACCTGTAACCTAAACACACAGACACACAGACACACACACGCACGCACGCACGCTCACACACACGGCTGTTAAAGTCCTAGGCCAGCACCCACACCTGCCCCCACCTCCCACATGCCTTACCTGAGACAAGGAACATCCAAAGTAGCCCCAGGAGCCCAGCCTTCCTCATCCTCCAGGCTCAGTTCCAACTGCCTCTGTGGGCTGCTGGGATGGCTATAAGACACCCCTGTACCCAGACTCTCTGGGAAGTTTCACAACAGGACGTGAGGCCATTCCTGGGAGGTACAGTACTGTCACTGGTCACCCTGCCTGCTGACGTCAGCAGGGGAGTTCAGGGGACCAAACCTCAGTTAAACCTCTGTGAACCTGTTTCCTCTTCTCCGAGAATTATCCTCTCTCTTTCTGTACTGGTTTTTGGTTGGTTGGGTGGGTGGTTGGCTTCATTGTTTCAGGTTTTTGCTTTGTTTTTTTGAGACAGGGTGTCACTGTGTGGCTCTGGCTGTCCTGGGACTCAGGACAGACCAGGCTGGACTAGAACTCACAGAGATCTGCCTGCCTCTGCCCTCCTAGTGTTGGGATTAAAGGTACCACCTATCCCATAATAACTACCTTTCCAATCACACAAAAATATTTTCGTTTGTTTTTATTCAGAGAAGGTTTTGCAGCACAGCCCAGGTATCCGTCTACCTTGTCATCCTCCATGCTGAGGTGACAGGCACATCCTCAACCTCAGAGACCGTAGTGAGAGTGACTGCAGTCAACTCTTGTGCTGCCTCAACACCCATCTCAAATACAAGATCAACTTTCATTCCAGAAACAGGAATTCATCACTTCTGACATGGTTTCTGGTACTTCACGACACGCTAGTTCCTGAATATGCTGAATCCAACTTCCTCTTGTGACCATGTTTGTGGGGACAACTAGGCACAACCTCCTTGGCTGAGCCCACACCCTAAGTGGATACCTTTGAGTTAATGCATGGTGTGCCAGACAACTGTGATTCTTCTCTGGGGACACCTACAGCAACGCATGACGGGGTACTGCCCTTCCGACTGGCAGCCTGGGCAGTCAGGTCTGTAAAGTGCCCACCATAGCCATCCACTCACCGTGGCCACACACCAGCGCCTATGGCACTTGCTAGAGTCGGCATCCCTTTGCTACCAAGTCCCTTGCTCTGTCATCCTGGTCTAAGCCTTGGCTTGGTGGAAGTGATGCCTGCGTGCCTTCTCCACCACGGTGGGCTGTGTCCCCTGGAACTGAGAACCGCACCGAACACTTCCTCCCTTAAGTTGCTGTTGCCCGGTATTTTGTCACAGCAGTGAGAAAAGTAACGGATGCAGTGCGAGCTGCAGAGTTAGCATGGCGGCTGTGGTTCTGTCAGCCTGGTGAAGCTCTACACTGGGGTCTGGGGCTCGGGAACCATGATGATGAGTCCCGGCAGAGGCTGGGTGCCATGTCCCACATGCCGGCGTCACTGGGGCCTCTATCCTTTGTCCTTACGAAGGAGGAGATCTCCTTTTCCCCACCGGTTTACAATGTCCTCAGACGCGTTCAGAAGAACAACTCCGATGCTCACCGGGACCTGAATGCCTGCAAAGTGAACTTCCATGTGACAAGGGAGCACATAGGCACCACGCATGCGCCCTGAGCAGCAGCAGCTGCCGCTGCAGAGATACAAGCGCCTCTGCGTGGCTGAGGTCCCCCAGGAATAGGGCCACCTCCCAGGAGGCGCTCCTCGGGGGCTCAGCTCTGAACTGCGACACCCAATGGGGCCTTGGGGACTGTGCCCATCCTCCACTCCCCAAGCTTGTATTTATCTGCTACAGGATGATGGGAGGGGGCAGCTGGTCCCTTAACTCTCTCTGCTCTCCCCACCCCCGATAGCTGTTCGCACGTACCAGATACATACTATTCCAGTTAGTCCCGGGTTCATCATACGTTTCCTAGGATTCACTAGGTAATTAGGCTTGCGCTCAGCTGGCATGAATTTGATACAGTGAAAGAGGATCGTGAGACTGAAAAACTAAATCATTGTCTTAGACTGTGTGGGCCTAGGAATTCGTTTCTTTTCTGCACTGATTTTCACACCTGTAAAACATGTGGGAGGGTGCCCGCCCTCCCGGGGTATAGGGTTCAACTCGCCACACCAGACGTTACCCCTAAGTGGTAGGAGACTTTGCGACTAACAGGATCCCTCTGTCAGTTGCCAGCCAAGGGGAACCTTCGTGGGCTCCCGCGTGGGAGCGGCAGTCACTCGGGCCGCATTCTTCTGCAGCTCGTTTCTTCCAACCTCAGACCTGGTTCTGCAGCCAGGCTAACAGACCCCCAACTACCAGGCTCTACCCAGGATACTCGGGGTGCTAGAGTATGGACCCCTTTCCTCACTGACCCCATCTCTGGTTACACATTAATTCCTGAAAGTGCAAGAGCTTCTCCCCCGCCCCCACCTTCACCCCCCCAAGGGTCCAGAAATCCCAATTGTAAGTATGGACTACGAACAACTCAATCACCATGGGCTCTGGAACTTTTGCTTCTTTCTCTGAAAATACTAACAAGGGACCCTGTAAAAGCTTTCTCTTAGGAGAAGCCACCAACCAGCTCCCAGAATCATAACACAGAGGCTTATTAGACACGAGTGCTCAGCCTAATCTTAGGCGTGTCCCACTTGCTCTTATAACTTAAGTTAACCCATTTCTCTTCATCTACTTTTGCCTCGGGGCTTTTTAACCTTCCCTTCTCTCCGCTTGTCCTACTCCATGTCTGACTGGGGGGGGGGGCTGGCTGGCCCCAGGCGGCTCCCTCTCTTTCTCTCTCATTCTTGAGCTGAGGTCCCTCCTCCTCCTTATTCTCTCTGCCTGCCCACCCTGCCTATGCCTCTCCTGCCCAGCTAATGGCCACTCAGAATTTCATTAGACCAATCGGGTATCTTGGGCAGGCAAAGCAATGCATCTTTACATCATTAAACAAACACAACGCAGCCGGGTGTTGGTGGCACACGCCTGTAATCCCAGCACTCAGGAGGCAGAGGCAGGTGGATCTCTGTGAGTTCGAGGCCAGCCTGGTCTACAGAGCAAGTTCCAGGACAGCCTCCAGAACAATACAGAGAAACCCTGTCTCCAAAAACAAAAAACAAAACAAAACAAAAAAAACCACAGCTTGAGCAGATGCAGCGCATCCTTATATATTACTCTAAAGTAATATTCCACAACAGGACCTCCAGGCTTTTCATTGATCCTTTACAGAGATGATAGCATCCTCCGAGATCTACAAGACGTGTCCGGCAAACGTCATACCCTCCAAGGGAGGGGTGTGGAGTACAGCCACCTCCATTTCAGGTAAGTCACTTCCTGCCCCTCCCCGCATTGCGAGCAACAGAAACGGATGAGAGGGGAGCGTGGGAGGCGGTATGGAAGCCAGCAAGGGCCATCCCAGGGCACAGAGGTAGGCAGGGATGAGGGGGGCGGCCAGGAAAACGGGGTCTGACTGCAGTTTCCTCGAAGTTGCAGAAAGAAGTAACCTGGCTGTGAGCCAAGCCAGACTGCCTTGCTGTGATTCCAGGGGGAAGTCAGAAGGCTGCCCTCCTCTCTTCTGCCAAGCTCACGCCTCTAAAGGTCTGTTCCCTGGACTTTGGGCTCGCATCACAGACCTGTGGGAACCTGGTGATAGCCTCTGCCTATAATCCCAGCACAGTGGTGACCAATGCAGAGGACACGGCCTAAATTCCAGGCCTGCCTGGGCTACCCATTCTCCTTACTCAAGGACTGTGAACTTGGTCCACCCTGAGACTCAGGAACCCAACACCCTGCTTGTGTTCCAGCTGTGCGACTTTGCGTACATGACTTGGCCACTTGTGCCTCGGTTTCCCCATCCATAGACTGGACCTCATCAGGTTACCAGGTCTACTGTGAGGCCTAAGTTACTATGACAACCGGGGAAGCATGAGCACCTCAGAGAGGGTGCTGGACACCAGCCCTCCCTGGCTTCACGTTTTAAGCCCAGAGCAAGAAGCCCCGTCCCCCCAGTATATGGAAGAGTTCTTCAAAGCATCTAGAAACTGAGGCAGCAGGAACACCAGGGTGGCGACCCTCCTGAGCCAGAAGTTAGACACCCTGACCCAAGGACAGAACATGGAAGCTCCAACCCCCATAGGAGACAGAGGCTCACATGGTTGCGTGGCCTGAGGGGTCTCTTAGCCCCATCTTGGCGACTCTCTCTTTCCCTTTCCCACTGTTCCCAGAGAACATGGGCTGTTTTCAGCAGGTTGATGCCCACTTTCTGTGAGTCCAGCCTTCATGTCCACAGACACTTCAAGGGCCCTTCAGGGAGAAGTGGACATGCCAAGGACAGCTGGGGATGAGTCTGTGGCAAGGCTAGTGCTTCTACTGACTCATCAGACCCCCGTGCCTACAGCATCATGAGCAAGATGGCTAAAAAGCTCACATCCATGGGAGATGGCAAACTGCTTGTTCCCCACTTTCCCGGCTCCCCTCTCATCCCCACCAAGGTCTCGGGCATGCACAACCAGCCACTGTATTCTGACATGACAAGGCCTGCAAAGCCTTCCTGAGGTCCCTTGCAGGTACCTGGACCATCACCCACCCCTTCCTGCCCTCTCCAGCTAGCAAACAACTTCAAGGTCATGCCTCCTCATCTCTGGTCCTAGCCCTAGGGTATCCAAAAGGACCAAAGAAAAAAACACCCTGCCTCTGACTTGACCCCAGGACCAGAGCTTGAAAATCAACCAGTCCCTGAACTTGCCCCAGAATCAGGCAGCAAAAACCACCAATTCCAGGCCACCCTGGAAAAACTCCACCTCCCTCCAAAGAAAACCTTATATAAGCTCTGTGTCCTGCTCAGTTTGCTGCTGCTTCTCACCAGAGAGGCAGCTACCCTCCTGGAGTTTTCCTTCCCAATAAACCTCTTGAGTGAGGTCTGCCGTGCAGTGTGACATATTCCCCAGAGTAGAGCCCACCTGTAACAACTTTCACTAGAGCCAGGGAAGAACAGAACTGTGACACTTTCTCTGGGGACACTTTCCCCTAGCAGAGCAGAGCTGTAACACATCTCCAAGGCAGAGTAGAGCAGAGCTGTAACAACTTCGCTGGGGAAACCCTCCCCCGCTGGAGCAGAGTTGTTACACTTGCATTGGGGAAACCTTTCCCTGCAGCAGGGCTGTGAGCTGCTGTGCTTACTTTGTGCTTTGTGGTATTCCTTGGCTCTCCACTGCCAGGATACCTTTCCAT